TCTGTCACCCAAGCTGGAGTACAATGGCGCTGTCTTGGTTCACTGCAACCTTCACCTCCCGGGTTCAAGTGATTCTCCTGTCTCAGCCTCCTGAGTAGCTGGGACTACAGGTGCGTGCCACCACACCCGGCTAATTTTTGTATTTTTAGTAGCGATAGGATTTCACTATATTGGCCAGACTGGTCTTGAACTCTTGGCCTCGTGATCCGCCTGCCTCAGCTTCCTAAAGTTCAAAGTGCTGGGATTACAGGCGTGAGCCACTGTGCCTGGCCTATTTTTGTCTTTTAATTGGCCCTAAATCATCTCCTGACTGATCATATTTTAAGATATATGTTCTAAGAGCTGTTTCCTTTCTGTTTTTAGGCTGTTGAGGGCAGTGGGTTACTTGTCAGGTCTCTCTCAGGTTTCTTCATTCTCATTGGTTTCCTCCATTAGTAGGATATCAGTAATCAAACCAGAGTTTGGACAGTTTAGAGTTGATTTTGTTTTAATCATTACTGCTTAACATCCAGAGATCTGTTTCCAGTCCTTTAGTTTCTTGGTTCCAAACTGGAATATTGGGACATCAGGCAAAACAACTTTCCTACTTTCCTAATTTGTTGATGTTTAGTGGCTTTCCATTGTGTGTGGTGTTATTCATTACTGAATGAAGTCGTCATTCCCCATAGAGTAGGAATTGGAAATTGGACCCTCTCTTTTTTTTTTTTTTGTTTTGAGACAGAGTCTTGCTCTGAGACAGAGTCTTGCTCTGTCACCCAGGCTGGAGTGCAGCGGCGCGAACTCAGCTCACTGCAACCTCTGCTTCCTGGATTCAAGTGATTCTCCTGTCTCAGCCACTCAAGTAGCTGGGATTACAGGCACTTGCCACCATGTCCGGCTAATTTTTGTAGAAATGGCATTTCTCCATGTTGTCCAGGCTGGTCTCGAACTCCTGACTTTAGGTGATCCTCCCCCCTCAGCCTCCCAAAGTGCTGGGTTGCAGAGGTGAGCCGCCGCACTCGGCCGGAATTGGAGCCTCTTTTTTTTCTATCTTGAGATGGGGTCTGGCTCTGTTGCCCAGGCTGGAGTGCGGTGGTGCAATCTTGGCTCACTGCAACCTCCGCCTCCTGGGTTCAAGTGTCTTGGTTCTGCAACCTTCGCTCCCGGGTTCAGTGATTGCTCGGCTCAGCGCTCCGAGGTAGCTGGGACGTCAGGTGGTGGCCGCCCACCCCGGCTAATTTTGTATTGTTAGTAGGCGATAGGATTTCACTATTTGCCAGCTGGTCTTGAACTCTGGCTTCGGGTCCGCCTGCTGCAGCTTGCCTGAGTTTCAAGTGCTGGGGATACGGCGGGGAGCCACTGGCCTGGCCTATTGTTGTCTGTTTAATGGCCCTAAATATCTCCGGACTGATCTATTTTAAGATATATGTTCTAAGAGCTGTTTCCTTTCTGTTTTTAGAGCTGTTGATGGCAGTGGGTTACTTGTCAGGTCTCTCTCAGGGTTTTCCATTCTCTGGTTTCCTCTTAGAGGGAATAGCAGGTAATCCAAGCCAGCAGTTTGGACGTTTAGAGTTGTTTGGTTTTAATATACTGCTTAAATCCCAGAGATCTGTGTCTCCTTTGAGGTTTCTTGGTTCCAAATGGAAGCTATTGGACTCAGGCAAAACAGCTTCCTACTTTCATCATTTGTTGGGTTGTAGTGGCTTTCCATGGTGGTGTTTTCATTATGATGAGTCGTCATTTTCCCCATGAGTAGGATTGGAAATTGGACCCTCTCTTTTTTTTTTTTGTTTTGCGACAGAGTCTTGCTCTGAGACAGAGTCTGGCTCGCTCACCTGAGGCTGGGTGCGCGGCGGCGATCAGGCTCACTGCAACCTCGCTATCCTGTGATTCAAGTGATTCTTCCCTGTCGTACGCACTCAAGTGTAGCTGGCATTACAAGGCCACTGCCACCATGTCCGGCTAATTATTTGTAGAAATGGCATTTTCTCCATGTTGTCAGGCTGGGTCTCGAGACTCCACTATTAGGGTGATCCCCCCCTCAGTCTCGCAAAGTGCTCGGGTTGCAGAGGTGTAGCCGCGCACTCGGCCGGAGATTGAGCCT